TAATGATGTTTACTTTGAATTTATATTAGTTCACACAAACACTCCATCCATGCTTTTGTTCCGGCCCTCCGGTCCAGTTTAAGAACCCATTGTGGCCCGCGAGTCAAAAAGTTTGCCCACCCCTGGTCTAGACTATGCTTAGATAACATGAGAGCAAATGACTGAAACAGGAACACATTCAGACAAAGCAGAAATTTATCATTCTGTTTCATGGAATTCAAAAATCCATTTAAAAATTAATTTTTCTTTATCACTTGAAGTAGCTGGGCATACCAGTGGTTGCCAAGATGAAAGCTTTGTCACGATGCTAAAATCTTCAGACCACACATTTGTATCCTTCATGCTGTCCCACCTTCGTAAGATTTTGGGGAAGACCTCAGTTGAAAAGTAAGAATTCACAGGCAGCTCCCACAAGGCTTTCTGGACCTCACTTGCCACTGTTTGTAGAACATGCTGGGAGCTTGTTGTTGCTACACAGTTTTTTTTTCCAAAGACCCCGGGCAAGGGTCACATCATTTTAATCTGGGCAATGACTCTTTTGAGCAAGTCCCAGATAATGTTAGTGATTTACAAAAGCTTTTATCAGCCTCCTGATGGCTTTTACAGAGTGGAACACTACATGACCCACGCGGTTTGTTTTCATTTACAAAGGTGCAGGGGCTTTGAATTTAAAAATGGAACGTTTTCTTCTCGTGCCAAATGTAAACAATTTAACATCCATTTCCCATCCAGCTATTTTGCCAGTTCAAAAGAGTTTATATGAATCTTATCTGTATTATATTTCCTGCTGATTGGCAGTGCCTCCTTCTTTAGCTGGGAAGCCAAAAATGTGCTGGCTCAGATTTGAACAGGAAAGGAATAACAAAGAAAACTGGGAAATAAATGTAATGAGTGGTTACGGGGTGCTGAAAACTATACTTATCGTTTCTTATTCTCGCAGAGTTGGTGCTGCCATATTGATTTATGCCTGGGAAGTCTTTCATGGAAACACACAACAAAAGCTTCAGATTATTTTGTCAACAAGAAAACACAGTTTACCTTATCTTCAAAGTCCCCATCTATTCCTGATTTGAGTGGTTCCATATTCCTTGCTTGCGGAGATCTCTCTGAGCCCTGGAGGAGATTTGTGCTGGATACAGTAATTCACTATGAAAGATAAAAGCCCCCAGAATGTCACCATGCTGCTTCCCAAGGCCAGCTGAATGATTCTGTGGGGACCAAAGGGGGTCCAGAGAGTGAAAAAGTACTGCGGCTCTTCCAGGCCGACTTACAGTCAGTTTATTGAACCCTTGAGAGCCATTTTTCCCCCTTCCAGAATGTAAAAGACATTTATTTGGCCTATTGTTTGAAGGCTTAAGTCTCTTTCTCACATTCAAGGTCTGGGCAATTGAAAAGGAGAGGAGGGAAAGAACAAAATCAGCCGTCTAGACATTTCCTAGTGGAGTATCAGGTTTATAAGCCATTTTCCTGGCCTTGTCCGAATCACACATTATGAACTGAGATAAAATGCTAGATCATAAACTTGGGCCCTATTGTAAGGAAGACGGGCAAGAGTTATGGTTTTCTTTCAAAAGTCACACATTGCATTTTTCTTCAAGGTCACATTAATTTCTGTTAATGGCCCTCCTCTAGCCGCCCTTTCCAGAAATGTTCTCATTTGCTCTTGGCTTCCAACCCCCACATTCCCTTACACTCCTCAACCTATACTGCACCCCCAATGTCCTCTCCACCCACAAGTCCCAATTTAATTAGACTTACAAAGTATGTGGGGAGTGAGTCAGTTTTCAATAAATACCCTGATTTTCCTATCAATTGACATCATGACTGTCTCCATCATTTAACATTTGGGTGCTCATATTAATGATGAGATGTAATGTAAGGGAACTTTAGTAGTGATTGAAGAGGGATAGAGGTAGATGCACTTCCAGAGCCTCTCTAGGCAAGATGGGTGCAATAGAAAGAGCATTACAGGAATCCCAGGTTCAGGTCCTTGAGTAACCTTTCTGAGCCTCCATATTGCTCATCAATAAAACGAGGCCATGGAGCCTGATAATGTAGAAGGGGTCTGATTCTCAAAAGGTTTTTTTAAACTTTTAAGCTTTGCATTTCCAGGAAGCTGACTACATCCCTGAAAATTACTTTCTGGCATTAGATGCCCTTGCTATGAGGACCATAAAGTGTTTTACCAGAATCCACATGTACTGATCTTCATACTGCTATCTTAAATTTGTCGATTGCTATTGCTTCACCAAGTGTTTGTCCACCAACTAACTTCTCACTCATCATTCAACACACCAGTGCGCTGAGTGACAGCACCAGCTGCCATGTGTGGTATAGTGACATTCTGAAGAGCAAATGGGATGGTGCAATAACTAGTAAACTAAACCTCAGCAGCCAGGAATAATGGACATTTGATAGAAGTTTCTTAGCCTCCAATTCTTTTCTTTACACCATGATACATGCTTTCTCTCTCTCTCTCTCTCTCTCTCTCTCTCTCTCTCTTCATACAAAAAAAACAAAACAGAATACTAACTTCCTGTTCCTGTATTTGCATATGGTTTCCATTTGAAAGGTCATCAGTTATTTGGACAATGATAACAAGATATTTCATTAAAAAGTAATCTCCAAATATTGACCAACTCCAGAGATGGAATACTCTCATTAAGTTCATTTGATGATATGCAGTGTATGTAGTTAAAATTGAAGGAGGAGGCATACTGATTCCTCAGCCTCAGTAACCCAGCCTAAAAACACCTTGAGATAGATTATGTTTTAGGAAGGTCCAAGTTTATTTAAATGATATACATAAATATGTACATTTTGCTTGTTACAAAGATACTAGTCCTAGAGCAGTATTGCCTGGCTCAAATTAGATGTTCAAAGAATATCTATTAAAGCAATGAGTTGATAAATGAACAAGTCATCTTTACATTAATATATATTGCACTGGTAACCGAATGATGAATGGTGGTTATTGTGGAACCTACTTCACCAAAGATGGAGAAATACTATCATTGGGTCTCATACAATATCTTTCTTTGCATGTTTGTTTACTTCCTCAAGGGCAAACCATTAAGCATATTAGGCACTTACATTATTTGGGCATCTTTGAGATTTGAAACTGTATAGAGCTCTGTCCTATAGTGAAGCCTATTAAATAGATAATTTGATGCTTCATTCGCATCCAATAGAGACAACTATTAGGTTCCTTGAGGCTGGACATTGGCTGGGCCAGTGCTCTAGAGCTAAGAACATATTGAGTTTTCCTTGGTATAAATGAGGGAGTGGGGCCCACATGATCTGCAGGTTCCCTCATGGGGTAAACATCTTATGGTTCTGTGAAAGCAGCAACTGTGTTCACAGAATGGCTTTGTCCAAGATAATATTCAGTGGATAAAAATGATAGCATTATCAGTGGTTTTCTTTGAGTCTTGGGATTACTTATGTTGTAACTTTTAACTTATGATTTAAACTTTTCTTTATCAGAATACTTTTTATAATAAACATACATGATTTTATAATAATATAAAACAATATAAAGTCCTTTCAATTTTGAGAAGGAAAAGAAGCCCTTATTCTAGGAAGGTAACAAGGACAATAAGGTCTAGAGCCTTGTTGTTAAGACTTTAGCCCACAGATTTGTAGACCCCCATCCAGAGATTCTGATTCAGTAACTCTGGATGGTGCCTGGGAACCTGCGTTTTTAACAAGCTCCAGGATCACACTTTGAGGAACCTGAGTCTAACAGTTAAACATATAGACAGCAATCCTACCAAACATTTTTCCTTTCAGAATTATGAGGGAAAATTTCTGTATCAAAACCTATGTAACCCAAGAAGCATCTAGGGCTAAAGAATTATCAAAAGGCTCAGCTCCACTGGAAAAGTGTGCTTCCACCCCAGATGGGACTTGAATGAACCTGGAATTATGAGCTCACCATCTCAGTCTAATCTATTTGGACCTGGGTCCCCTGGACCCTCTCAAATTGTGCCTGACATCACTGTTATCTAACATCAGGTGTGAATCAAGGGACACCGGAGTTTTGGTAGTAGACCATGCCCTCAGTAACAAAATTATGGGTCATCCCTTGGCAGCGGACTAGCTGGTCAGTCAACTTAATTGACTGTTTTATCACCAGGTTTCATTTTAAATGTTAAGAAAGAAAAACCCACAGAGAAAGACAGAAAGAAATGGCTCCTAAGAGCTCTCAATACTAACTTATTAAGGGTTAAATCTTGTGTAAATTACCTGCCTTTTAATTAAAAGAATAACAACTGAAAATAAATACCCAGTTAATTATGATTTTATTGCTTTGACCACATTGCGGAGGTCTAAATGACAGAAGAAAAGCAAAATGAATCTTCCAACCACAAAATGCCTTCAATTTCTAAGTCTTCATTCTAGAAGCAGCACTTACACTAATATCTATGGAGTGTTTACTCAGTGCCTGTTATGAACAGATTGTTTGTGACCCCACCATAGTTCATATTTTAAAGCCCTGACCCCCAAAGTTGATGGTGTTTTAAGAAGGGACTTTGGGAGGTAATTGGAGTTAGGTTAGGTCATGAGGATAGAGCCCTCTTGATAGGGTTAGTGGTCCTTATCAGAAGAGAAAGCTCAGGCTCTCCATGAGCAGAAACTGAGGAAAGGTCATGTGAGAACACAGGGAGGACTTGGCCATCTGCAAGCCAGGAAGAGAGCTGTCATCAGGAACCATAGTGGACAGCACCTTGATCTTGGACTCCCCAGCCTCCAGAATGTTGAGAAACAAATTTCTGCTATGTAAGCCCCCCAGTCTCTGGTGTTTTGTAATGGCAGCCCAAGAAGACCAAGACCGAGCCTTAACTGCATTACCTGACTTAGTCACCTCCACACGGTCACTTTAAATAAGAGACCTCAAAATCTTTAAATGTTTTCAGGGTCAGTGTCACTTTGGCAAAAGTGTTCTTTCTTAATTTGCCATAGGACAGTGGTTTTTAACCTTCCTAATATCGCGACCCTTTAATACAGTTCCTCATATTGTGGTGACCCCCAACCATAAAATTATTTTCGTTGCTACTTCATAACTGTAATTTTGCTACTGTTATGAATCGTAATGTAAATATCTGATATGCAGGATGTATTTTCATTGTTACAAATTGAACATAATTAAAGCATAGTTATTAATCACAAAAACAATATGTAATTATGTATGTGTTTTCGATGGTCTTAGGCGACCCCTGTGAAAGGGTCGTTTGACCCTGTGAAAGGGGTCACAACCCACAGATTGAGAACCACTGCCATAGGCTGATAGCTAAAGAATCATGTTACATATTTCAGATGCTGTATGTGTGTACTTGGTCTTAGGCGACCCCTGTGAAAGGGTCGTTCGACCCCCAAAGGGGTCGCGACCCACAGGTTGAGAACCGCTGCCATAGGCTGACAGCTAAAGAATCATGTTACATATTTCAGATGCTGTGTGTGTGTACACACCTCTGCAGGCTTGCCTAGGGTAGGCAAAGGTGTGTTTGTAAGTACAGGTGCCTGAGGTAGGGCAGGTATGTGGACCCAATTTATTTAGTGGCTAATTACTCCCTTTTTCCTTTTAAGAGATTCTGTCTTTACATTTTCCCAGAAGGGAAAAAAGGAGGGGGAAAGGAAGTGGAAAGGAAAATAACCAAGAACGAAAACAGAAGTAAGAGGAGAGAAAATGATGTGAATAAGGGAGCAGGATTTAGAAAGGAAGAAATGGACGAGAGTCATCGGGAAACCCTGCTTTCCCTGCCCTTCCCTCTGCTCTTTCTCCAGATCCCCAGGCTGCTGCCAGACCTTCCCCCACAGGCCTCATTTACTCACTCCCTAGCCCGCATGTGGAGGCTTTCAACTCATTCTCCCAGCTCCACCCCAACACTCCAGCTAGAATCAGAAATCAAAGAAAAAATTATGTCCCCATCATTAGTATTGCACCAAGAGGGTAATTAAAGAAAACACAAAAACCTACAAGGGATTTCCAACATTTACCAATGTGGGTGATGAGTGCATGGCTCCTTGTAGCCCTTCTATCTCCCTCCAAGCTCTGGAGTGGGAGCCCTATTTAAGTGTATGCAGAATGGATACCAGCAGCCCCCTTCAAACTGAATTCAAAACTGCCCATTACACGTCACCCC